TCGACGAGAGAAACAAAAAGCCCTAATGATGTATAAAATTATGAACAACCTTGCTCCCGAATATCTACAAAGTGTTTTCTCTCAGCGTCACTCTGTGTACGACATAAGAAACTCTGAGGGAAGGCTGGCCCTGTCCAAACCAAACACCAATTATTTGAAACGAAGCTTCTCTTACAGCGGGGCCATATTATGGAATAAATTTCCCAAAAACTTAAAAAATGCTTCATCCATTAACCACTTTAGGCGAAATCTTAACGTAGTCGATATATAGGATTCCCACATGGCAATTATGTAAAGCAGTTAATTAATCTTAGTTTTTATCATGTAACTGACGATTTTCCGTGTTTAAATAAAGATTTACATACATACATACATAAATACATACATACATACGTAGATATTCGTAAAACAGTGCTCAATACGTTAATGTAGAGCGAAGCATATGTTTGTGGAGGAAAGAAACAAATAAACTACGCTTTCATCCCAACAAGCCTGTTTCGTGGTTGCCCACTCATCAGGGGATTTAATAAGAATATAGATGGTTTGCACGTGACGTCATGAAACTTCCGGTCGCCATATTGGTGGACCACTTTTCGCGTGTAATTTCAAAATGGCGGCTGCCCTCGATAGAGCGATGTGCAGTTAAGCGAGAATAAATATTCCAGGATAACCTCACCTGTGACACCCTTATCCGATTATGCAAACAGGTTAGAGAATAAGGTCAAACAACGTTATCTTGAGAAAACATCAGCGATCGGAATCGACCCAATCTTAATGGAGGGCAAGAACCTCGAGCCGAATCGTGTACTTCCGGTGGAATTGACGAACCTGCTGTTTTACCTGGTGCTGGAGACTAGCTTTAACACTAAACAACAATTTAAAGCCTTTCGAAACCTTCATGCACAGAATCAAATGGTATCGGGTTCATTTCAAGTGTAAAGGGGCACGTCATTAACAATAAATTTATTGTTTTAGCGAACGAATTCGCAAAGAATGAAAGAAGCCTTGATTTTTGTCTGGATCATTACCGAAAAGTCGGGAAGAATTTTATCTGGCTACTGCTGTGGGTGTAAAGCCGGTCTCGGAGAGTCATGCTCGCATGTTGCCTGTGTTTTGTTCTACCTTGTTTCAAGCCGACAGCTTTGTACTAAAGAGTCGCGAGATCCCTACAATGCACGATTTGTCCGATCCTGGATATCAGGATGTTGAGTATCCTGAACTGCTAAAGGTCTGTTTTGAGAAGCTAATTGCAAAGTCTGAAGATCACATGACACATATTGAGGAAGACACCAGAAACCAGTCTCAAGGAAGAAATTTTTTCAAGCACAGAGCTGGAAGGATTGGTGCCCCACAAAGTAAGCTGGTAGCTCACACAGATTCCTCATTGCCTTTTCAGTCTTTAATTCAAACAATTTGCTACCCTGAGCTTAATGAATTATTTTCAAAGGCGATTAAGCATGGGTGTGAACACGAGGGACTTGCGATCAATGCTTATGAACAGCTTATGAAGCAAAAACATTC